CCTGATTGGGTAAAGCAATGCACCTGACCACAGGTCAAGTGCAAGACTTTGCCCAATCACAACATTGTGCACTGAAGAGCCATGATTGGGCAAAGCAATGATGAATTTGTCCAGTCATGGCTCACAGCTAAGTCCGAGCCCCACACTATAAAAGGCTGCTTACACGACAACCTTATGTAGTGTGTTGCTGGAGAAAATATAAAGTGTGTCTGTTAATGTACTGTAGTGTAGTGCAGAGCAGAGCAGAGCAGTGCAGTGAAGTAAAAGCTAACTGGTGTCAGTGTAGTGAAGTGTCAGTGCTTTATACAGCATTTAATGCTATAGTACTCTGTACTGTATATAGTATTATTTTCTGTGCTGTATATGCTCTGTCTTTTTTGTGTGTGTCAGTGGTGTCACCGATGTTCCCATTTTTTTATTTTTTTATTATCTTTTATTATTTTTACTTTTTCTTTTCAGCAGCAGGTTCTTTTGCTGCTGCATTGCTGCTCCCCCTTCCGTGTCACAGGTGTTCCAAGTTTTTTTTCTTTTTTTCTTTTTTCTTTTTAAATGTTTTTATAATAAGCCATTGTACAACAGTTTATAATGCACCAAGCACCACATTTGATAAAGTATTGCACCCAAGCACCAATTTCCCATCCCACATTCTCTAATAAAATTTTATAATAGGCCCCACATCATGTCTGAAAGGCCAACAAGGAGACAGGTGTGTGACAGGTCAATATAATTTGAATTTTTAGAGTAGAGTCCAATCCTGCACTCGTCAAGAATAACTCTGAAGGATTACAGTGTGAATGCACCACAAACACTAAAGGCCCAATTTTAAAGCACCTTTTGTAACTTTCATCGAACATCTGCAAAAGAGACACGAGCATTTATCCAAAAAATCTCTAACCCTGCTCCGAGTGTCCTAAAATGTGGCCTCTTCATACAGGCTGCCTCCCCAAGCAATTGTTTACAAGATTAGGGAAAACAAATTACTGGCAATTTAAATGTCATTTGTCCAATAGACTTACATTGAACTCTAAGTTCGAGTTAGAACTTTTTCCATGTTTGAAAGTTTGAATTACAAACGAACTCAGGTGTGTTCAGCCCATCACTACAAAGGAACAAGTCAAGTGGTGCAGTGTGTGCATCTGAGAGAGAGAATCCACCCACCCAAACAGGAAACACATCATCCACAATTAAACTAAAAGGGGCGGTACAGCCCCACCACCTCAGTATTACAAAAGAATCGTAGGTAGAAAGACCACCAGATAGTAATAATGCAAACAATGTTGAACACACCCCCTCAAGAGGCAGGGCGGGAATCCCTGCTGCCCTGGAAGATTCCTGGAAAATAAGTTACCAGGTACCTAACTTGCTTTTCCCCAAGTCATCTTCCAGGGCAGCATCTGAGAGATTAGGCAAGAAATCATACTTTTTCGGGGGCGGGGGGGGGCAACTTCCAAGCGCCTCCTCCCTGCCAAAAGATTGGTATCAGCAGTAGAGGAGGACCACTCTGCAGTGCAATACCAGAGGTTGGCACTGGATCTAGCGGCTTTCCTCCAGATATGCTCTGGGGAAACCTCAGCTCTCCCAGGTCCAAGAAGACAACGTCGTCTTGGAGCATGCCAGAAATCCTTTGGAGGATGAAAGGTCAATGGATAGCTGAAGTCACCAGGCATTGGTGTTATGCCGCTTTGCAGTATTCATAAGGCCCTGAACAGGCCAAAATATACTTGGATTTCCTCCAAGGGTGACTGACTTTTAAGTAGCATCTGGCAACTTCTGTAGCCTGGATGAGGGTGCTTGTTACTACTCATGGACGAGTTAGAATAAAAAAATGCAAGTGGCAAGTCTGGCTGCAGCCCCATACTGCCATCAGTACTACCAACTGTGTTAACATGCCCCCAGTTTATCAATGTGGTGTAACAGACACCACTGATTACATAAGAACACTATCTGATATGTTCAGTTTATCGATGTGGTGTAACATAGATACCACCAAATTACATAAGGACACTATCCTATATGTTGGGAGCATGAGTAGCAGCCAGATGCTGTAAATGTCACACAAAGTTTACTGTTATAACATAGATGCTCGAGAAAGATGGAAGACATGTAAGAATAACCTTGTGAGGCCCAGGAGAACTCAGAAAAGACAGTGCTTAAGCCGTGTAAGGGGTGGAAGGTTGACAAAATATAGGCTGCAAGGAGTCTATAGAATGCCCAAGCCGTCACCGACCCGAACCTACTAATAGTTTGCAGGAGGGAAGTAAGGTGTTGACATCATGGTACAACCCTTTAAACGACTTGTCATGGGCTTGGTGCTCTATTAACCAACCACCCCCAAGTAGTTAGCCTGTAACTGTGTAGCTGCAGCCCCAGACGTGTAATCCGTTAGGGTTGCACTGAACTAAGTACTGTAAAAGGTATACAATTGCCTAAAGCAGTAACTCAGGGATATTTCAATGCTAAGATTACTACCTATATCCCAACTAGTGATACTAAAGAGTAAAACTGGTCGTTCTGTAGAGAGTATAGTTACACAGTCCATAGCTGTCCATTCAAGGAGGCCCTGGATGCTACATGATATGAATATCCACATCGTGGCAGCATACATAGGGAGCATGGATGGCAAACGGCCCCATTCAAGGCGAGGCAGAGGAGAACTCTGAGCCACACCAAATGTGAGTAAGGGAAAGCTCTGCTAGAGCCAATATGCACCCGGGGATGGTTGCTTTTCCTCAAGGCGGATAAGAAACCTCAGGGATAGATGGGGAGGGTCCCATAATAGGATAACCTGGAGGTTAATTCTAGGACAAGCCCAGGCATGCAACCCCCCAGGTCCACGGTCCCTGATTCACGGGGGAGCACACACTGGAAGGCCCCTGCAACTAGCACGCAGGCCTATAGAGAAAATAACAAACGGTTACGATGCTCCTGTTAGGCCAGGGGAAACACAAAAAACTGAGGTGGTGGGGCTGTACCGCCCCTTTTATTTTAATTGTGGATGATGTGTTTCCTGTTTGGGTGGGTGGATTCTCTCTCTCAGATGCTGCCCTATAAGATGACTTGGGAAAATATGGTGATCAAGGCAATCAGGGGTGCCGTACCTTTCCAAGAGCAGTTTGGTAACCAATCGCTGGCCAGAATGAGCGAATCACGCTTTCACTATCGATTTGGTATCAATCCGCCTGTAACAGGAGCTGGCGCTATCGAGGAAGCATCGGCTTATGCGGCTCTGCTCCATACGCTGCCGCCTCGCTTCCTCTAGCGCTGGCTTCGTTGGCACCGCTGATTCTCTCCCGCAGCTCTTCAAGTTCCCCCTCATGCCACCACCGGCCCTGGGGATGGTCACAACTAGGTCTTATTTTCTGGGTAGGTCTTATATTTTAGCAACTCCCAAAAATAGTACTAGGTCTTATTTTCGGGGTAGGCCTTTTTTTGGGGGAAACACGGTACCTATGCCAGGCATTGCATGCCGTGAGACCTCTGTTTGATGTTATGGATACAGTGGTGTGACTTTCATGGGGGCAGGGAGCTTTTAAATTTTTTCACATTTTAGGTTTTTTTTTACATTTCGTTCACTTAATTTTAATACAATCACAAAGGGACTAACAGGCCCACATTTTAAGGGGTACTCTTTTGGTGGTCTATTAGACTCCTGATGCCTTAACTGTACTCAGCCAAAGCAGATCAAGGACACAACATCCCTGATCCACTCCCTCACCAGCTCTGTTGTGTGGGAACAGTTGGCGCTAAACTCAGAGGTGATTGCATCTGGGTTCATGCCTCACACAAGAGCTGGGAGCCCACACTAAACATATAAATAAACTTACGACAACAATAGCAGAGTACAATAGTTTTATTACATCACATTACTGTGATCATTTTAACTACTAGTACCACTACTAATACTACTACAATTCTTAAAATGTGTTCTCTTATTAACAGTCATAAAAAACAGGCCTACTTTCACATGGTCTGCAGACAAAACCGGAACCCTAAAAATCTAGGTATTTCCTAAAGTTCTGTTCATCCCTTCACATGCCACACTACTAGTCAGTGAGGCCACCCATCAAAGTGATGAACCAGAAACAAGTAGTAGGAGGCAGGAATAGGACGTACTGAGTGATACTACATTTCTTGAAGTCACAATTTGTCCTAAAAGAGAAGTATTCTTTTGTTCACTTCAGGATTATTCTGAAAGTCACAGGAAAGTTTGTGCAGGCACCATTAGGTGCTTTCTTTTCTATACTGTTGCCAGGCCCATTTACTAATAGCCACACAAGCCTTGGGATGTCTAATAACAAAGCTCTCTGTCCTTCCCTTCTGTTGTCTTTCCTCTCTCTCCTCATTCTTCTTCTTGTCTTTCCCCTCGCTCCTCATTTTTGTTATTGTCTTTCCCTTCTCTGCTCATTCTTCTTCTTGTATTTCCACTCTGTCCTCATTCTTCTTCTTGTATTTCCACCATCTCCTCATTCTTCTTCTTGTATTTCCACACTCCTCATTCTTCTTGTTGTCTGTCAATTCTCCTCATTCTTCTTTTTGTCTGTCCTCTCTCCTCATTCTTCTTGTTGTCTGTCAATTCTCCTCATTCTTCTTTTTGTCTGTCCTCTCTCCTCATTCTTCTTGTTGCCTTTCCCCTCCTTCCTAATTCTTCTTGTCTTTCCTCTCACATCATTCTTCTTGTTGTTTTTACCCTTTACTCATTCTTGTTCTAGTTATTACCCTCTCTCCTCATTCTTCTTGTTGTCTTTCTCCTCCTTCCTTATTGTCTTTCCTCTCTTATCATTATTCTTGTTGTCTTTCCCCTCTTCCCTGATTTTTCCCCTCACTCTTCATTCTTGTTGTGGTCTTTCCTCTCTTCTTATTCTTTTTGATGTCTTTCCCCACCCTCCTCATTCCTGTTGTTGTCTTTCCCCTCTAACATTCCCGCCTGGTGCCCACCGCTGGTCATCCATTCACACCAGAATTCTAACAATGTTTTTAATGATTATAGAAAGGGCGCTTACCGTAATCTTCACCCTCCAGTCCAATAGGCCCAGATTCTGGAGTCTCTCCATTCTTGAGACAATTATGAATATAAGTTGCCTTCCACCTGGCATATTTTCTGTGTTGAAAATTCTGAAAGGAAATACATTTACAACTGTTAAACTGTCTGTGGCTGACACATAGAAAGCAAAGGAAAACTTCAAAATATCTTCCATGTATTAAATACTAACGCAACAAGACCATCCACTTACACAGATAAAACATTGTTTTAGAAATTAGATTAGAAACTTAATATCAGTTAAATGAAGCTAAACTCCACACAAACTTACATTTAGTGTATCCCTAGCTTTTTCCTCCCTGCTGGGTGCTGCTCTGTGTGTCTTCTGATGCAGTGGCCGACCCCAGCGGGGAGGAGAGAAGCTTTCAAAAAGCTGAGTGGGCGGGGACAGTGGTCAAGATGCCAAGCGGTGCGGTGACAGCTGTCATCATTACAGGAGGTGGAGCTCTCCTCCAGCACTTCCCGGCTCCGTCTCCTGTGTCAAAATGGAGAGTGGTTAGTGCGGGAGAGCTCTGAGAAGAGGCGGAGCTTTCCTTTCCGCACCGCCTGTCCGGCCTCCTGTGACAGCCGATTCAGGATGGAGAGTGGTATACAAACTTTCGTTGAGTGTTTGTAAATAACAATATATAACAAGAAGTATGCTTACTATGTTCCAGTTATGAATGAATGGGAACTGATTTACATCAGTTCCTATTCATTCATAATTGTGGACATAGTAACTCATACTATATCCACAATGTATGAATGGACAGGAACACTCAGTATAGAGCAGTGGTTCTCAACCTTTCTCGGGCCGGGACCCCTTGGTAACATTTGCCAAGTTGTGGTGACCCCCAAAGGTAAAATTTAGAGATGACGCGGCTGCTGCAGCGACATCTGGAGGCGTGGCGGGAGAACTGACACTGCTGCGCTAGGAGAGAGCTGAGTAGGACTCTCACCTTGCACAGCGACCCACAGGTTGAGAACCACTGCTATAGGCAAAGACAGGACCGGCTCTGCAGCTGGAACTAGAAGAATTGGATTTAAAGTGTTTGGCTATATAACGTATGCGGTACATACTCTGCAGTACTGTGACTGATAGGGATAGGCTCGAGCGTGTTCGCAGCTCCACGTGCCGAGCCCGCCAGGAAGCTGACAGCGCCAATCACAGGCACTGAGACATTTCCCAATCTCTGCAGCTGTGGACCGGGAAAATTGAATGCATAGCTAGAGGTGTGTTTTACATATTTTTTGCTTGAATACATACATATTGCACCCGCCCTCTGCTGCTGTCAATCACTAGAAGGGGACCTGATGGAGAACTTCAGGTCCCCCTCTGCTGATTGGCAGCATCAGAGGGCGGGTGAAATAGCTAGTTTGCTATTGGCTTTTGCAAAGTGAAATAGCCAATAGGAATCTAGCTATGCATTCCTATGGTGGTTTTTTTTTCCTGACTTACGGCGGCCCCCGATTTTTCCGGGAGAAAGTGTTTCTCTTCCGGCGGCCGAGAGCCACTAGGCAAATCGTCATTCGAACCCCGAGGGGGTCCCGACCCACAGGTTGAGAACCACTGGTATAGAGGCTTCCTGTTTATTCATAACAGTGTCTGCAGAAAAAGAGATGTAGGACTCAATCTCTTTTTCAATTTAAAAAGGGAAATATCAGGGGTCTGTTTAGACTCCTTGATTATTTCCGTAGAGCCCCCAGCAGTAAAGCAAAAAATAAAAAGAAATAAATACAAATAAAATAATTTAAAAATAATTTAAACATTTTTTAAAAATTAAAAAAAAGTCATTTTCCGTTTTGACCTGACAAATTATTTATTTTTGGTCTCAAAATTCAATTTTGGTGCTTCCCCAATACTTTCCCATTCTATTCTGGCTATGCCTCGGGTTTCCTGACAAAATACAGATTGAAATTGAAATCATTGTGCACTAGAAGCTATCAAATCCAAGAACCCAAAACTAAAAGACTCAGCAATGCTCAACTATTGAATGCCACCATATATAGTGTGTAACATCACATCACACGTTTTTAAACCAATTGAGGAGCTCTGGTGTACCCTTTATGACTTAGGGCTAGTTCACACCAGCCCCAGTGCGTTCCACTGCATGAAGCATTTTTTCTGATCACACCGGACCGGAACGCAGGCATTGATGTGCCACACGTTTCGGTGCAGGCGATTGACTCCCTGGCTGGGTAAGTCCGAGCCTCGGCGCGTGGGGGGGGGGGGGGGGGGGGGGGGGACTGCGATGCCATTGACTTCAATGCACATCCAAGCCTAGGACAGCTAAGGTCCTCATTCATGTATCAGTGCTGAAAAGCGGTAACAGCTGTCTCTTGACAGCGTTTGTTAACATGTAAACAAACACAGCTTCATTGTAGCTAGTTGGGGCAATTGGACCAACTAATTACAAAGTATTAAGGTTTTTGCTATCTGGAAATAAAGCCTAAGCTAGAAGTTCTCAACAAGTAAGTGAACTTCACTTGCTAAAGTAAGGCCACTTTCACAATGTGAAATACAATGAGAATACCTCCAATCTGGCACGATCAGGTCTGGTGAAACTGAACACTCCTTTCCGTTAGTTTTCACAAACCTGGCTGGAGCTCGGGGCATCTGAATGTAAATGAATCCAATTATATCCAGCTGCCCATAAACTTACACTGGGCATACAGTCTGCCTGAACAACTGACCAAACGACATGATCGGAAAGCCAGTGTAAAAGGGGCCTTAATCTACCATAGCAGTGTAGCAGTAAAGCAAATACAAATAAAAATGTATCATTAATTAGTGAAGGGGGTGTTCTATTCCATTGTATGATCCTACTGCTGCTGCCATATATAGCCCTTTCTAATTCAAGTATTAATTCTAAAGCCTGCCACATATGGAATCTGATTTTACAAGCTATAATACAATTGTACAGAAAAATAAATGTGTGCTTACATAAGATCTAATATATTCACAAAAATGAATGATGATGTATGAAACAATGATTCAGTCTAAAGGAAACATTAAGTGCAATGCAGATTTGTTTTCTGCCACAGGTGCCGACCAGAAACTTTTAACACCAAATTTTACAAATTGGGGAATAACATTTTGAATAAGCTTTAAAAAAAATTCAAAATTTAAATAGAAAAACCATTCACATTACTCATTCTCTCTTTTGAGACCTGATAAAGCTTTGTAATGATGCTTATTACTTACCACTTTGTGTGGCCAAGTTAATACAATCAGTTCACACACAATGAACATAGTATGGTTTAAACGATCCCTCAAAGGACACACTTTGACATAGATTATTAGAAGGTTTTCTGGATATACACCAAACTAAACATTTGCACATGTCTGCAAATCAAGACACAGATTGCCGTTAAGGCAACGTTTAGATAGTGTAATGGTAAGCAGCAAACTAGCAATAAATAAAAAATGTTAAATTTAAAAAATGGCAAACCACACAAGTGGAGGAATCAAGAATGCTTCAGTCATTTGATTTTTCTTGGACCCCTAATGTTTATTTTATTTTGAAGTAAAATATTGTTTATGTGGAACATCCAGACAAAAAGTAGACACTGTACCATTGAGAAACCAACATGGTAGGTCAAGTCCACAAGCAAACCTGGTTTAAAAAGAGCACTGCCCTGCAGACAGCAGCTGTCAGCACTTTTTAGATACAAGGATCATCTAAGGACACTTAGATAGACACTAAGATGCCCTTAGATAGATAAACCCAAATAAGAGAGAAGGTCTACACAACCAACAAGGCTTCTAAATGCCCATAACGGCACACAAGCTACATCAAATGTAAATTAAAGAAACATGAATGTGGCTGAACAGATAAACTAAGTTATAGTGGAAGTGGACCCACCAATTGAAAGGTCTTCCAAAACAGTTACTTTTTAAGGCATGCCAACTGTCAAGGTTGCCAGTGTACTTATTTCAGCTCTCAATTGGCTTGTATTATAACTGATAACATGTGCAGCACCATGACAACTGCAATCCAAATAGGGGCTAATATGGCACCTTCCTTGGCAGTAAATGCCAATAAGAGGGTGTACTTCTGGTTTAAAGTATGCAAAAACCTATATATAAAAAAAAGAAAAAAGAAAAAAATGAACACTCTCTGATACTTGATAGGTAGTCAAAACGTCTTTCACCTTCAGTAAACATGTTCCATCTCTCTGCTTCCTTTTGCTCAATCCCCTATATATCTCTTTTTTTGCAGGAAAGCACCTACTACGGTATTACTATAACTGTAGTAGAGGCTTTCTGCACACACATTTGAATACACTCTCATGCTGCACCTCTTTCTCTGCTTTCTTGCACAATGTGGTATTCCACCACACATTTTCCATAGCAATGTTACCTTCTTCTCTTGGGTCTGCGTCTCCCTCCCTTTGTTGTCACCCTGTGCCTCAAGGAAGTATGCAGACTGGAGTGATTCCACAGCTGGGAAGTGAAGAAAGTGGGACATCCCTATTCACAGCACATATCAAACATGATTCATGCTTACACACACACTTCCAGAAACAGCACATATGCATAGAGCACACACAGTCACAGCACACAGACTGACCTCATACACAGTCACAGCACACAGACTGCATACTCAGCCACAGCACACAGACTGACTGCTCGGGCAGTCAAAGCATGCAGTTAAACCACACACAGCACACAGAAGGCATACTCGTACTCAGCCACAGCACACAGCACGCATACTCGTACTCAGCCACAGCACACAGATGGCATACTCAGTCATAGCACACAAACTGCATACTTACAGCAAACAGATTGACCATTCACACAGTCAAAGCACGCATACAGACTACAGACACAGTCCCAGCACACAGTAGGCATACTCATACCCAATCACAGCACATGGACTACATACACACAGACTGACTGCACGGCACCCAGTCACAGCACACGGAAAGACTGAACACTGAGTCACAGCACACACAGACTGCGCATTCAGTACCAGCACAAAGACAAACCACTCACTATTTCTGCCCTTAACATATCATTGAAATTTTCATTGCAGGTAATGCATTGATGTGCACATGTGGGAGATTTCCCTGTTTTATGTCTGCATGTAGGTGATGACTTTGGTGTAGCAGAATGTGGTGGCCTGGTAAGCACACAAGCACAACACGCACAGCGACATACAGGAAACGAAAACTAAGTTCACATGTTTAGGGCAATGTAAAAATATTTTTCATTCAAATGTTTTGCATTTAACATGAATGTAGTTAGCAATTTGCCAATGTTAAGTGGGTTGGCTACACTAGTGGAATGTTATTAAATGGTTTCAGCCGGAAGTCTATAGAAAGCTTTCTTTCAGAGAATTGCAAGAACAGCTGTGAGGTAAAAAAAAGTTTGTGAACCCTTAAACAATTTCTGGGTTTATGCATAATGGCTTCCGAAATTTAATCTGACCATCTAAATCCAAAAAATATTAATAAAGCAGTAATAAAGAACAACTTGCAAAGCATTTCACACTGTTGAACCTTTATTGAATAAAGAATTTAATTGAACAAATATTTATTGCCATATTTTGTGGCAATAAAACCTTGTAAAAGAAGCATGGGTAAAACCATTTTGACATTGAAAGGTTGTATTTAAACTACTTAGTTTCCTAAGAATAGCCTAATAATGCAAAAGGAACGGCTGTCTTTTTTCATAAGGACAACTGTTCACATACATGGTCTCAAACCTCTGGGAAACTATACTAGATAAATCTACAGTGAGGGATCTTGCAAGTAAAAGCCTTTGTTTCGTAAAGCTGAATAGAGGGTTATTTTTCCTTTAAGACTTAGGCCAGGTTCACACCTGCGTGATTCATGACCGCACGGCAATTGAGCACAATACCACGCACATTGCCTTGCGTTCAAGGAGTCAGCCACCACCGCTCATCGAGCTGGCGGTGCCATTATTTTCTAATGGCACCCCAGTCGCGTCGGGCAGATCGCACAGTTTCCCGCCCCATGCAATCTAACACGATTGCGGCTACAACAGCCGAACGTCGTGTGTCGCAAACAAAAGGTACACCTTTTCCCACAATTGCAGCGCGGATGTAACCCGATTGAAATCAATGGGGCAGAGCGCCAATCGCTGTGTGCAATTGTGTACGATCGTGCGGCCCCAGGACGCGTGTCCTGAATCACTCAGGTTTACTCCGACCTTGACATTGTGTAGTAGAAAGACCACACTTTATTATAATGCTTTGTGGGTTTTTTGTGTTTTTGTTGCCTATATTGGTTTACTGCTGTAAAACCTGCACCTGTTCAAAAACTCCCAAATGTGGCAATCTACCCCAAGAGACAGAAAAATCAAGGCTGCTATCTTTACAACCTCAATCAAATGCTTTCTGTATCTGCTGCTAGGACTTGTATAGTGGTTTGGAAGTATTTTGTCCATTTTTTCTATACATTTTTGAATTCATATCCATTTATGTGGAATATCTTACTTTCTTCAGACCAGTCATGTTTTGTGAGCCTGCCGTGCCTTCTCGCTCATACATTTCTGTTTTTGTAACTTGATTTCTGAACATTTATGCAGGTATTACCATTAACTGCATAGTACAGTTTTAGCTAGGACACCTTAGATCCATATGTGTTCTTGTCAGTGACTTAAAAATAATAAAAAGTCATTGGATTTCTATGATTCTTGAACATCTAGCATTTTTAGGAGAGATCAACAAAGGCAAAGTAGAAGACGATGGTACAAAAATAGACAGCCCAGGGACAAACTCTATGGTATGTGTGGTAGGTCTGCTTAATATTGGAGTGGATCTCTGAATTTATAAAATGCCACACTGTCACAGGAATAGACACATCTCAACTTTAATTGCCTTATTTGTTTCAGAAATTACTAAGTACCAAAATGGACGGCTCCATTTTTGAAAATCTTTTTTTAATAAAACTAGATCTTCACTTAAATTACAATCATTTTTGCTTTCGCGGTATAAAGTTTTACTTTAAAATTCCATATTGCCGCCCATGCAATGCTAATTTTAAACCAACATATTGTGGTATCCCCCCATTCCTTCCCTAAGCTATTAACTTGCACACTCCCCTCCTACTTACTGTATTTACACCCAAAACTGAAATCTGTTGTACTCTGCCTTGCCACCACTGGGGTACCTGATTTGGATCCTGACTATGGCACTATTTACATGGAGTTTGCATGTTCTCACTGTGCTTGCATGCATTTCCTCTGGGTACTCCCACACTCGCAAAAGACACGCTGGTAGGTTAATTGGCTCCTTTCTAAATCAATCCTAGTATGTGTGTGCATGTAAGTATGCATGTGAGATAGGGACCTTAGATTGTAACCTCCTTGAGGGCAGGCACTGATGTGAATGTAAAGAACTGCATAAAATGTTCCTGTTATATAAATACATGTAATAAATCAATACTCTTCCTCCACCCATCTTCCCTGTTTGCTAATTATGTAACCATAAAAAAAGCTCATAGAGTTGTGTAAGTTCTTATTCTACTGGAACACTAAAATATGAGCTTGCGTGCTCTAACCATATTGTTCTATTATACACTTGTATAATTTGTTGTACCATACTCTTTATATTCAATAAAAATATTATTAAGAAAAAAAAAAGATAGATAACTAGAACTACTGCCTATGACATCAAAGGAGTCATTTATTGAAAAGCTAACTTGTAGAGGTTCATTGTTTTGCCTTATGTTACAATGTGAGCAAATCTCTTGTAATTAGATTCACATGTGACTTTGCCCATCCAGCCGGCTTGCAGTTACCATAAACGTCCTTCTGGGGATACTGCAAACTGAATAGACCATTGTACAAGATCTGACACAGGTCACTGCATGCTTGAAAGCAGACTATTAAGTATCTGAGCTTCAAAAAAAAAAAACACATGTACTACATAAAACTGTTGGGTAAGGTCTTTCATTTTTAATGACACAATAACAACAATTTAACCATCAGTGCTCAGACATTATCACTTACTCTAATAGACACACGTTGATGAAAATAAAAAAAGAACAGCAACATATATTTTTATGTATCTTATTACCATTTTAAATGATGGGCACACAATGTATCCCCCTGTGCGATAATGCATAATTATCCTACTTTTCTACAATCTCAAATTACAAAATCTGATCCTCGTATGGTTTTATTTACCAGATTGTTACCAGAGCAGTACTAAAATCATTACAACAGCTTAAAGAGGAATCTGGCCTCCCTAATACTAAACTGTTCTCAAAGGGTGGTGGTGTTTTATGTGGACCAATGAGCCCAAACTTTTGAAGTTTTTTTTTAAGAGGAAATTCCACCTTTCTAGAAATAATACAGTAAATGCATGCTTCTTCATAAAATAACAAAATGTGAATCTGTTACATTTTTGCACTGGAGCCAGTAAAGCCTTGCAACCACTTTCAGTGGATCGTGGATGCATTGCTCTGGCTCCTCCAGACTCTTCCCCCCATCCATGTCTGTACTGAGGCATGGGCATTCAGTAACATGGATAGGAGGAAAAGTGAATGGGCTACAAGTGAGGTGACGTCCATCTGTCACAGTGGCTTATGGGACTTGTAAGCTTTCCATTAAGAGGTCCTGTCAAAGGATCTGTGAATAGATGATGTGGCTGTGTTGGCGATCTGCTCCAAATTAAAAAGTGTACACAAGCCGGTGGCGAGGAGGACACCATGATTCAGGCAAGTTAGGGGGCTGCATGGGGGGGAGGGGGAAGTTGAAATCTGACCATGTTTCATGTCACACCCTATATATGGGTACACTTAGCCTTTAAAAAACAATGCACTGGCATCAATTCTACCTGGATGAATCCTGAACAAAAATGGTTTATTCAGGGGACCAAGGAAGATGAAGGCATTGTCAGCGGTATTGAATAATAAAGTTGTTTAACTGTGTTGTTGAAAAAGAACCAGTACACATGCACGTAAGGAAGCTTTCAAGATGAGCTTAAGCCGTCTTTTTTTTCCCACTCATAGTATGTTCTGCTTGTTTTGGAACGGATTACTCTCAACTCCCTGCAAACTTGCATCTCCACAATATAACCCTTTGAAGCTGCAGGAGCTATGTTGGACCCACCTTCACTTACTGTCTGAATGACCTCCGTCATTCATCAACCACTTCGTTCCTGCGCTTTACGTAAAGAAGACATCCCTGGCATCCCTTTAGACAAGAATTCACAGCAAAAGTCTGCAGAACACAGTGGTCAGCAAGGAGAAACAGCATATTTAAAAAAGGGACCAATTTTTTAATACAATTCTTTTTAAAAAGATCTGAGGCAGAATGCTGTGAAGTTTAAGAAAAGCCTATCAGCCTTTCCCACCACAATTGGAGTGAAGAGCAGAAGAAAAAACCCAGTGATTACATCACTGGGTCCCAAAATTTCTATCTCTTTAAAAACATTATTATTATCATATGCGAATACTACACTTCAGCTTTAAGTAAATCAGGATTGACTTCTATACCAGCAGCACACCGTGTCATTTTGTCAGCTCGCAAGTACAAAACACAGACTCCTATAATTTTTGTGACAGTATGATAGAAACATACAGATACAATGACAGAATCTGATGAAAAGTTAATTGTAGATACAATAACTGCTGTCATGTGTGAAAAAGTGTGAAACAAACCATAACTCACCTCCTCAGTGAGTTCGCCAAATACAGTTAACGTGTCCAGCAGAAGGCTAGCCGTGTAGAAAGACTTTATCATATTTCTGGAAAGGAGAGGAAAAAAACATTTTATTTGAACTGTAATCAGTTAAGCTAGTAACATTAACACATTCACTACAGCCAACTTTCCAAACCAATGTTAACACAGTTAAGGGATAATAGTAAAACTGCAAGTTTGTTTAGTCCACAAGTAGTGATTTATTTTTCATACCCTCAAGTCACAGAAACCTAACTAAAATGCACTAATATATAAACAGTTGTAAATGCATCTGTAACAGAGTTGCACATTCATGTATTGTTGCATGCCTGTATTTACATTTACAGTTTATTTAAAGGAGAACTATGGGGTTAAGGCTTTTCCCCATAGTTCTCTTTAGGGTAACGGTAGGACACAAACTAGCATCCTCCCGTCACCCTAAGCTCAGTATACCGCAAGCTACTGCTCGCGTATACTGAGACGCCGCAGCTGAAGCGGATCCCTAAAAATATGTCTGGATCCGCCCAGCTGCGTGAGTGACAGCTGGCTTGCCTATCTATAGGCAGAGCCAGCTGTGCCCGCCCCCTTCCATGTCCGATCCACCAGTCAGCGCTGGAGGATCGGAGCGGGGAGGGGGTAATCCAGCCCCTCCCCTGTCACGGCAGAGAGCTGTGACAGGATCGAGAGGTGAGCAAACGCCGGTATGTGTTCGCTCACCTCCCGATTTACTGAGCCGACCTGTGACAGTCTCATTGTCACAGGTCGGCTAGAACTATGAGGTGAGTGAAAAGCACTCACCTCATAGTTCTCCTTTAAGCATACCAGATTTTGCTTTATACCTTGCATTTCTTTTACATATGCAACCTGTGTTACTAAAGAAGGGAGCATGACACAACTGCACTTTGTACACTGTGCTGTATGTCCAATACACCACAAGCAGGGGCGACCATAGCCTTTTCCTTGCCTGAGGTGGGGGGATTGAGCTGGTGGTGCATGTTAACCAGGGAAGTCTACACCGGCCAGAGCACCCCGCTCAGCCTTTGGCAACTAGTGATGTCACTGGTTGCCAGGGGCTGAGCAAGAGCCAGCCAGAGTGTCCTGCAAGCTAAGAGCTGGATGGGGAGATGTGTATGGCCCTTACACATCTCCCCGCCTGGCACTTAGCAACCTGGGACGCTCTGACCAGAAGAGGGCAGCAGGCACACTGCAAACATTGTGCAGCAGAGCGGCCATGCCCCTCAGCCTGTCGCCCCCCCACATGACCTAAAGAGATGCCACATGAGGACACAGCCTCATTATAGGAACGGCCATGCCCACACAGCTCCAGGCTGCACACTATGCTGTATATTCTTTAGCATGTAGCGGTCCCCTTACACACTGTACCTTTCATAAGCCACACTACTCTACTCTCCACTCTATGTTTTATAGCAGGGATGACAAATGGTGGAACGTGGTTCAGAAACGGACCACGATCACCAACCTGCCAAGCATGAAGGAGGATGGAAGAGATCTCTTCAGCAACTCAGCAATCTCTACCTCCTGGCTCTGCCCAGCTATGCCACAGGCTCCTCCCAGCTCCGCCCCAACACTGCCTCCTGGATACATAAGTTGATATATACACGAGAGAGAGGGAGGGAGAGAGAGAGAGTGTTAAATGTATGTAAAAATAATGTTTTATGAGAGATTGGCGCGCTTAGGTGTCGAGTCAGCCCATATTTATTGTGTTTCTTAGTTTGTATAACTAAGATGCCAGGAAAATAAATATGTAAGGATAGTAATATAAAGGGGCACTCTGCGGCGTGGTACACTTTCATGCTACTAATGCACACTACTGTGCACTGCATGCACTACTTTTTTCAACCGCGTTGCAACGCAACAGACGGTATTGTAGTACTGTGTGTTGCAGTGGGGCCAAATGCATTGCAGTCTGGAGGTGCATCTGGGTGCCATTCAAATGAATGGGAACGCAGTGCAGCTGCCACACTAACACATGGTATGTGCATTGTGCAGTAGTGCGCGCTAATCGCACAGGACCGTGTGATTAACTGAGCGCGTTAGTGTGAACGGGCACTTTAGGGGACAACCAGTGTAAGAGGGCACTCTGATGGGGACAACTAATTATTATTTGCCCCATCAGAGTGCCTCCTTACATTTGTTGCCCCCATCCGAATGCCTACTTACATTAATTACGAAAGTAAGCGGGCACTCTTATCAGGACAGCCAATGTAAGGGGGTAATTTGTTGGGGACAGTCAATGTAAGCGGGCAATCTGATGGGGACAACCAATTTAAGGGGGCACATTGATGGGGACAGCCAATGTAAGGGGGCATTGTAATGGGGACAACTATTAGTTGCCCCCATCACAGTGCCAATTTACATTAGTTGTCTCCATCAGAGCGTCCTCTTACAATAAACACAAACATAAAGAGTCATTCTGATGGGGACACGCAACGTAAGGGGGGAACTCTGATGGGGACAGCTAATTATTAGTTGCCCCCATTGGAGTTTCCCCTTACATTCATTGCATTCACACCAGATGCAGTCACCTTGGCCACTTTTTTCAGTGCAGCCTTGAATTTTAATTCACTACCACTGCTCTATAGTCTCTACTGTACACACCTCTACTTAGTAAATTGCACATATATTATATACCTTATAGCATTCCACTCTCTACATCATAAACTTCCCATTATATACTCTACACTACTCCACTTTATACAATACATTGCACACCATTCCCCACTGTACGCTGCAGTGAACATTGCTAACTGCACACTGTTCTAATCTGTACACTGTGATGTACATTCTATACTTCACACATCTATACACTCTGATGTATTCAGTTATTGATTTGTATATTCCACCCTTCTTCATTGTATACACCTTGTTCTTCCTCTACGCTCTTTACAAATGTTACTATTCATTGTTATGGAAGGTGTGCTTTGTTGGAAACCAAACCAATGACGCAGTAAGTAGATATTTTTACTTAATGCGCCATTGGTTTGGTTTCCCATATGCAGAGGTGTGAATGCCGTGTCATACAGCAGATTACACTAGTTGTCATGATCCTTCCTGTGCCCAAACAGGCACATGTTTTCTAGTCTACTATAAAAACCAATTCCACTTTTAGATTTGTGCCACAATAACATGATAAATATTTTTAAAGAATTTTTTTTTTCATTATAAATTGGCAGTTGATGGTTAAATCATATTTATATGGTTTTCATAATTATTCGTCAAATGCTAAAGTAGCTTACTGTATATTGATCACTATGTGGTCATACAGAAAGGTACCTGGAAGAGTTTATTTCTGCACTTATAAGCATTCACTGTTTTCAAGTACCATGGTGTTAGGTGTATATAGAAAGTGTAAGAGCTGGATAAAATTATGCATACATATATACCCAGCACATACATACACAATCTTTTCCATTGCTTATGAAGGCAGGGATGTTAAAATCTTCAACACAACTTATTAACCACTTCAAGACCAGGTGTTTAGACCCCCTTCCCATCCAGGCCATTTATCTGAAAATGTTAGTTGGCAGCCATGCTAAACATTTTGTTTATTACACCACCATTGTCTGTGTTTTCATGGTGTATTTCCCCTTTCTTCTCCATATTTCTGGTATCATGATTACATGTCTTATGGCCACATGTTCACATGCTCATATGATGAAGGCATTACAATCTTTTGACTGTTGTAACCTGCTGCATTCATTAAAGATCTTCGTGGAAGAAAAGGTATTTCGTGAGTTCAGCTATCTGATGAAGATTGTCCAAAGTGATGGTATCTGCCTTTACAGGCCAGGCATAAAGGTTTCAGGAAGGGATAAATCACTATATCAACAGTTGGAGTCAGAATACCACATATTGACCATATGTCATTGGCTTCCTTTAAAAACTCTGGCAGTTGGAAGTGCTATTTTTTTTTAAATCAGCTCCTCCTACGAAAACAAACAGAAAAATGTATTCGCTGATGCCACTGCTTCACCCCTAATTCACCTAAAAAAAGATCTACAGGATTTTTTTTTATTAACCCTTGTAGTGGAGCTACCCCCCGGACTCCTAGGTTTAGGTATTCATTTTTGTCTAGTTTTGAAAAAAGAAAAAGTTATACTCATCCGAAGCTCTGAGCCAGCTTCTTCTTAGACCGTTCCTTCCAATGTCTCTCTGCCTCCTCTGCAGCAGTCTAAAATCCCTAAATTATCAACATCTATACATAGTGTATATACATGAGGATGCTGTGCAAAATTCTAAGATAGAATTCTAAGTACTCTAAGATTGCGGAGGTGGAGCGGATGGAGAAAATGCACCTTTATACAATCGAGAAAGTAAATTTAATTGTACATAGTTCTAATCGCATGAGTACGCCCTTTCCCAGGAATACAATTTGGCCTCTCAGGGACCTGATGCTTGAGGGGGGTGGCGGCTCTACTCCACCGGCATTCTTCTTTTCTGTGATTTTCTGTGTTATTTCTCACTTCTCTGTGACTCTTGTCAGGCTGCTAGGTCATCAACGGGGGTCTCTTAACCTGCTCTTCTTTCTGAAGACTTCTGTCTACCGTATGTTTCTATTGTCCTGTTGACTGTTTTTCTCTTCTCTATTTTTTTGTGCTATATGGAAATATCCCAAATAAGAAAAGTTGGATCTTGAGGGGTGAGATAACAACTTGTTATTGAGATGGAACTCTGACACTGGGATAAATTGCATTGCGATGTTACCTTTCTTGCACCAATACGGCTATATCAACAAATAGGTGTCGGATGTGTCATCCTGAGATTGTATACTGTTCTGTTCATTTATGACAGTTGTTTTTCTTGCTTTTTCAAGATTATAAATAAAGAATAAAAAAAAAAAGATTCTAAGTGCTTTGGCAAAGTGTATTTGTTTGATCTGGATTCATTATTGAAAACAAGTTTAAAACTGCTTTAATCTTAGCTTGGATCTACCCGGGTAGATCAACTTGTCCATATATTTATATTCTTAAAGAACACACATATTAAACAAAGACTTTAAAGGTTTATGGATATATAGAAAGTAATATGTCACAGTGGGTGTAAGATGAATCTTATGCTTTAAAAAAAACACACTAGTGCTAATAAGCAGCTGTTTATTTTAAATCTATGGCAATTGGTATTATATACCATTTCCTTCCCGGCAGCAATCACCAGTTCCAGATGTGTGACCTATAAACATGATGTTATAAAACAACAGCACTCTTGGAGGCAATGCCTTATTGCTGCTCAGAAAGAACACAGAGTATGCCACAAAATGGCAAACCACAAGGGAGTAATAAAAACGAGGAAAGAGGAGCTCTGTGCAAAAGCTAGGCTATAGAGCCAGCTTTGCTGCATACTGTTTTTTTATACTGGCGGTAACTTACACCCTACAAAAGATAGATGTTCGAATTACATGAATCTGGTGTTTGCTGCAAGCTCTCTGCATGGGTAATACAAACTACTTTTATTTCTCTTTCATTTTCATCAAAGTCTGACTATACTCTCTACAATTGAAACGAATGGCAAATGCACTCATCAATTCATAAGTAGCTTTTAAGTAAGGTGCACATGGAAGGGCTTTACACAGAGCAAAAACAACAAAAATTTGCTCTGTGTAAAAACCCAGCACACTCGCCAGCCAGGCCTGGCCAGCCTGCAAAAAAAAAAAAAAAAGGAAACGGTC